AATTAATTATTTTTTTCCGGCAGAACCGGAGGTTGAACTCAGGCCCTTGTGCTTGCCAGGCAAGTGCTTATTCTACCGAGCCATCTCCTTGGCCCCCACATGTGTACCTGTTAACGGCCTTCACTGAGCACCTATTAATGTAGGCAACACAGAATATCGATTAAAAACAATTTCAGACACACACTGCCTATGTCCACATCCACCTTTATCACTTACAGTTTTGTGACTCTGAAAGTAAATGAAGCTCCTTTTCCTTAGATTTATACCTTTAAAGGAACAGCACATTACCTACTTCAAAAGCCATACACTAAGGCCCAGTAAATGTCACCTGTGATTATGAAACAGAGCAGGGCCTGCCTCCACTCCTCCTGCGCCGCGCAGATGGAAGGCACGGTGCAGCTGGCAGTGGCCGCTGCATCTCTGCCCCGATGCAAGTCCCACAGCCCTGCCATGGACTTGGTGGCTCCTTGGTTATTTAGTTGCACTCTCTTCCATGAGCACAGCATGGCTGTCTGCAGCAGTGCTTCTCTCCTGCTTCTGTTACTTTGGATGCTGGAGGAGACGGCAGCACGGTTCAGCTAACGTGGGAGAGGACCTGGGCCCAGTGCTAGCAGGCCCACCCTCCTTGAACACCAATTATCTGTGAAGGACGCTGCCAGCTTTCTGAAGATTCCCCCCGTGCGGCTCTGCCATCCCCCCAGATGTGGCGGCTGCCCGCCAAGCCACTTCTACTGCCCTGTCTCCTTGCTGACTTGGCATCGTGGCAGCCACCACAGTGCTGGAGGTCTGCACTCACTTGGACTAACCACAGGCCCGTGCTTGAGCCAATCAGTAAGTTCAAATTTGAACCAAGTCTGGGCCTGCACTTGGACCTTCACAGGCCTGCACCGATGTAAGCAGCGCTCTCCTCACACCTCACGGGCTGGTCTAGGAGGGCTCCCTCTGGTGTACAGGCCCTCATGTGCTGCAGGACAAGTCCTGCTGCAGACACACTTCGGTGGTCCTATAAATCTACTGAGGATTTTTACCCTAAGTAGTGTTGATAGCAGGGCCATTTCAACAGAAAAGTAGTAAGTTCTGGGTGCTGTTAGCCCTGAAGAGCTCCAGGGAAAAGCAGCAGCAAAGACCAGCACCTGGTGCACTGATCTCTGGCATCTGGGACAAGCTGCTGCTGCACGAGTGGCCAGCAGCGGCACTTCTGGGGCTGAGCATTATCCATGTCACCTGGTGGCATCAGAACTTTAATAGAGCTGCACTTTGCTGACTCATGACTTCCATCTGAACTGAGCAAAAGAACTCTCAACCGCAGAAACACTGTGGTGATTACTGTTACTGTTGTTTCCGAAGTGTGATGAGTTCTGGGGACTACAAGGTTGGCAGAACCGCTCTCAACTTGGCAATACGAGAGGCCAGGACACAGGAAAGGCAGAACAATGAGTTTCTCTAAACAAATGCATGCAGAGAGTCTATGAGAACACAAGAGATGACATCTAACTGGGGTACAGTCATGGAAAGGGAGTTTAAAGCAGTGACCCATGGTGGGACAGCTAAGTTCCCCAGCTCCTCAAAAAGGTGGGAACGCTGAGGTGGATGTGACTTGTCCAAAAAAGATGTCCTCTGACAGATTCCAGGGGAGACGCCCTGGGTGAAGTCACCTGACAAGAAGGCCTTCTGTTCATTAGCTGAGTGCCTTTTAGGGATGGCTCTCAAGAACCTTCACTGAATTTTTGGTTGGGCTCCAATGTATACACTGAGAACTAAAACCGGCCAGCTGACACAGGGGAATTCTCATCCCAAATGGGGTGTTTACATGGTGGGTACAGATTACCCAACTGTGTGGGCAGGGAGTTGCTTAGCCTCTGGCCCAGAGCCATTCACACAGAAGGAGTGTGCTTGCACTCTGCTTACCCCTGGCTCTCGCCCGAACCACACAAGCCATGGCACAGGCTCTGAGGCCCAGCCAGCCCGGTCACACTCTGGTGCCCTCACATGCCAGCTGACCGTGGACACGTGACTTCACCACTCCAGACCCCATTTCTTCAACAGAAGCGAGTAACATGTATTTTACAGGACTTCTGTTGAGAATTAAAACAACTATTGGTGAGACAGGACCTGACACACAACAGACACCTGGTGAACAATAAGAAGAACGTATATTCCTGGGGGCTTGGCATATCTCAGGAACTGAGCCAAGAGCTTGCAATAGAACCTCTTTTGATCCTTCCATTAGCTCCATTTAAAAAGTGAGAAAACTGAAGCAATAGGGGTTGTGATACTGGTAAAAGGGCAGTGGCAGCTTTGCTTGGGTCTCCTTGCACCAAGAAAGAGACGTGGATGGAAACTAGAACTGGGCCTCTAAATCAAAGATGGTCCTGTCCTCTCCCCTGATCTTGCCAGTTCAAAGTGGGCCACAGCTGGAACAGTCTCCATGACGCCGACTTGCGGTCTGAGCTCACTGCCGACTGAGTGATGGGCCTGTGGGCGTTGGGGCTGCCTACGGAAGTGTGGGCCATGCTCTCCTTGTCTTAGTTCAGTGCTCCGACTTCCGGCTGGAACTTATGAGGAGAGCGAAGTTGTACCCTGTTCCTTTTCAAGTAAGATTAATTGTCTAGCTTGTATTACAGAATGAATTTTAAATATACTTTTCTTTAAGGTCCATATAGCTGAAGGGATAGAAGAGGCCAGCTGCTGCCAGCCTGACCAAGGGGTGACCTAAAAGACATTCTCCCTCTTCCTCAAGTTGGGACAAAGGCTTGAGCCTTAATAAACTGGATTTAAGGATGGTTTTTCTTGTCCTAGACATGGTGACAGAGTTAAAGGCAGAGAAGGTAGCACAATCCAAACAAGCTTTTCTGAAAAGTCAAGGATTAGAAATATTTTGACTGATGAGACTGATTTTAGAAACAGTCTCTGGATGC